CAGGGTGGATAGGAGGACTGGGGGTCTTGGGTTTTCGGGACGAGGGCTGAGCACGAGGAATTAGGGCAGACTTGGATGGGGACACATGAGGAAAAGTCCTTGGGGAAACAGTCCGGGGCTGAGAAGCGACGGGGGTGACCGGGGGAACAGCAGAAAACATGACGGGGTGTAGAATGTGGCCGTGGGGAGGAGAGAGGCGATGCTGCAGCAGGCTGCGGAGCTGGAACGGGGTCATAGAACTCCTCAGTAGAACCAGAGCTCCTCACCTCAGACTCGGAAGTAGTGCTTCTCATATCTGATTCAGTATTAGCGTTTTCTGCAACCAACTCAGGAACAGCAATCCGTGCAGCCGATTCAGGAACAGCAATCCGTGCAGCCGACTCAGGAACAGCAATCCGTGCAGCCGACTCAGGAACAGCAATCCGTGCAGCCGACTCAGGAACAGCAATCCGTGCAGCCGACTCAGGAACAGCAATCCGTGCAGCCGACTCAGAAACAGCAATCCGTGCAGCCGACTCAGAAACAGCAATCCGTGCAGCCGACTCAGGAACAGCAATCCGTGCAGCCGACTCAGGAACAGCAATCTGTGCAGCCGACTCAGGAACAGCAATCCGTGCAGCCGACTCAGGAACAGCAATCTCAGACAATGAGAGTTTGGAAATAGATAAGTTGACAGGGACTTCAAGGATCTTGACAAGACGGGACAAGTACTCTGACAGGGTTCTTGCAGCAATGACGACCGGCATCTCTTGATTAGCTGAAACGGAGCGCAAACCAGCCTTAGCAGCTGAATCGGCCGCTTCCCTCTCTGCAGCACTCACGACTGTAAGCTGGGGCCCTTACTGCTGCAGACTCTGGAGCCGCGCCCTCAGCAGCCGATTCAGGAACAGTACCTTCGGTTGCAGCGGGCTCTGAGACAGCGCTTTCAGTTGCAGCGGGCTCAGGGACAGCGCCATCCGTAGAAGGCTCTGGGACAGCGCTTGCAGCAGCGGGCTCGGGGACAGCGCTAGCAGCAGCGGGCTCAGGACCAAGCAGAAACGAAGGATGGGAGGCTCTCTTCCTCCTCCTCTTCCTCCTAGGTCGCAGTGCAGATGCCGTTGGCGGACTGGTGAGTGGTTGGGGAACCATGGCGGGATCTGTGTCTGGGGTTAGAAGATCAGTCTCTAGGAGGGCTGATTCCGTCACGGAGGACTCTGATGCTGACTCCCAAGAGGTCCGTCTCCCTCGCTTGCCGAGTAGACCTTCGGGTCCGGATGACGTCTCAGGAGTGGAAGTGGGACCAGCCTGATTCCCCTGGGAAACAACACCTAGGACACGACCCTCCGGTATCACTGGCAGCTTGACTGGTGGTGATGACAAGATGGACCCCCGGGACTCTCTCCTCGATAAACAATCCACCACATCAGCGAACGAATGGCAAACCAGGCTCTCCCGTTCAGCCAGGGGTGGAGGAGAGTTGAAACCCGCAATGAGGTAGCGGTTTAGGAGGACATCAGGCAGGAAAAACCTGACAGTGTTCAATGAACACAAGGTTTATTGGTACAAAAACAGGAAAACAAAACACACGAGGGGGCGAAACACGGACAGGACAAGGACACTTAGGCTGACAAGACTAAACTATGACTGCACAATAAACAAACAATAATTCTAACAAATGCTCACAATAACAAGAATTTCCACAAGGTACTCACAGGTAAGATGTAGCAATGAACCGACACAGGACAGCAAACACAAGGGGATTAAGTAAGGAACACTAATGACTAGGACAGGTGAAACTGACAAGACAATAATGACAAGACGAGGATAACAAGGGGGCGGGGTAACGTAACAACAGACCATGCGCTTGTAACACAAAACATGGGTCTGTCATGATCCTGCCACAAGACTAGGAAAAATCAAGGACATGATGGCAGAATCATGACACTTTCGTCCTCCGGACGGGTTTCCGTCATGATCTCTCTCTCCGTACCGGCAGCGATTGGGCTTCGTTGGAATCTGAGCCCCTCTCGATAAACTGCAGTGTTCGTGCTGCTTTCCCTATTGCTGTGACTCGGCGTGGGTCGATGTGCCCGTTGCCGGGATTCTACTGTCTACTTTCTGTTTTCCTTTTTAGAGTGACCGAGAAAATCATAATCTGAGTGATAGTTGGACGCGCACTAGTGTGCGTGGGTGTGTATGTGTGTGTGCTGCAACAGCTTTAACTTCTGTTATTCTTCCTAGGCTTACCGTGTGTGTTTGTGATTAGTTTAGCTTCATTTAAGTGTGTGTGCGTGCGTGTGTCGTTATTGTTATTGTTTATTTTTCCTTTTGTTTAATTACGTGTGGTTTTCTTTTTCGAAGATCAGTTGGTCTTTTGCGACCTTGATCATGTATATTTGTATGTTTGGCTTTGTTAATGTTGGTTATTTTAGGGATGTATTAAACCCAGCTGTTTGTTTGTTTCTCCCCAGGGACTGAGGTGCTTTGGCGGAAGGACCTTCTCTGCATGGTGGTGCTGCTGTGGGGTGACACTTTTGAAGTGCCGGTGTGTGACTTAAGTGCACGGTGACGTGTGAGTGTGTGTGTGAGTAGGATCGTGCTTTTGGAAAAGCCTATAAGTGGTCCTTCCGTCTGTAGCCCCAGCCTGGGTGGGTTATGTTTATCTTTTTTTTCTTTTCTTTGGGTTGCCTTGTGGGTAAGAAAAACAGTTTCCTTGAAGATCCTTCTACCCTTGTGGGTAGGGGACTGTGTTGTATGAGCCATTAGTGCTGCACCCTGAGATCTGTCTTTTCCAAGTGTTATCATGTGTACATGTGCCGAGTGCCCTGGTTTTTAAAAAGAGGAAATATTGTGTGTCTTTACAATTTTGTATGGCAATAAAAGATTATTTGTAACCTGATTGCACTTGCATCTCTGACCTCCCTGGCACACACAAACCTGTGTGGCCTAGTGTAACTACTGGGTATATTCCCTGATTGAGTCAGGGTGGCGTAGTCGACTATCACAAAATTCTTGATTATCCTAAATTATTTATTAGAAACCCAGAAGCCGATCGGATTGCCACATTAATAATGAAAAATGAGTAGGACTACGCCAAAATGTGTAACATTTATTTAGCCTACAAAAGAATACAAAAGCCCAGACAGAGTTGACGCAGCTTTAATCTCCCTTTTGGTTATTTCAATACTTAATTGACAACAGAACACTCGTAGTTTATTTTGCGTGATACAGGGCGTGTCGCATTTGCGCGTGATATTGAAGAGTGCGCGCAACTTATGATTTCGGGGGTTTACATAGACTATTGTCCGGTTTCATATTTGTCAGTCAACTTTTCAAAAAACATTCGGGGCTGAAGCCCCGGCAAACTCTCAGTCAGATTAAAAAATGATTATTAATGATTGGTAAAAATGATTTTTACCTCACTATACCGGGAAATAACCTGATGTAGCTTATTAAAGGGATACTTCACATCTGGAAAGATGAATGTGTATTTAAAATGGCTCATTTATGTAGAAGAAATGTGAAATTATTTTTGAATTTGGAGCTTTCTAGACTGAGAAAAGCCAGAAAATGTATTTTTGGCTTATGTGGATGAAAGACAACAACTCCAAGAATGCACTTGCTTCGCTGCCCCAGGAGCCCACGCCTACCGGGAACAAGCGCAGTAGTAGGCTGCTAGTGAGTCTCCGTGATGAGTCTGCCCGGGATTTCGTGATCGCCCAAAATGACCGGGATTCGGCTTTTGCGTTCTACAGTCGCCATTCATCATGTTTACTGTGGCGAGCAGGACGAGTGAGGGCCGCGGGAGAGAACAGCGCGAGGCCGGTGGCGTGATTACTGATGACCGACACCTGTGAGACGCACCGGTCTCGTATCTCTCACGGAGGAGCGGGAATTTTCTTAGCAATGTTAAAGCGCACATCAACCGATCACTTGTTTAGCGTTCATGTAAACACTACATTGAGATTCACCAATCGGAATGAATTCAGTTAGATTAAAACAAACGGTGTGCATGTAAACAATGAATGGCGACTGCAGAAAGCAAAAGCTGAATCCCGGAGATTTTGTACGATCTTGACGGCCGGACATGTCCGGGAAAAAGTCGATGGTAACCCCTACTGAGCTTTCTCCTATTACTCAGCTTTCTCCACAGAACATAATTGCTTTCTGTATCTGCAAGTGAAGTCCCAACCACTGATCTGTAATAGGTCTGTAGCGTGAGTGGGTCCCACCCCCTGGATAAATGATGAGTTAGTGTTTGTAGTCTTACCCTTATTCAAAGAAATTGTCTTCCTGCTTTTTATGATGCAAAATGACGATTTTTGCGTCATAAAAAGCAGGAAGTGGAACACTTAAATCCTTATTTCTCCCATCTCAGGGGAAAATAAGGGAATAAACCATGACCATTCGAAAATGTGACTGGGTTTCTAAAGATACAAAGTCTAATGCAAATGGGTGAAGTGTTCCTTTAATAAACACTCCACCTTTGCTAGCAAAATAGAAAAAGATTATCATATATAGAACGAAGAAATAAAACAAGCAAATTAATGAGTAAATAAGCAAGTTAATAATCAAATAAGTAAGCCCCGCCCCCCTCACGATAATATTGTGTATCGCCGATCTCACAGGCTGATGATAGGACGATATGAAAATGGAGTATATCGCCCAACAGTAGTGCACGATATTCCATTCATCATGTAGAAAATAGTAAATGTGTGAACAAGTGACTTTGTGAGTTCAGCTGTAGCTTCCGCGTCTGTTTATAATAAAGGGGGCGGGGCTTCAGAATCTAGAGAGCATTTGATTGGACAGAAAATCTGATGAGAAGCTGAAGTGCAGAGTGATGTCATCAAACTTATAGATCCATATTGAACGGAATGGAGAGACCAAGTACTGACCATTTGTTAAAAACCTGTACCTATTTTATAGTTTGACTGCATATCTAAATGTGATGAAGTGCTTGAAAGTTTCTAACATGAATGTTCTCCAGCATCATGAATGAATGAAGATTTAACACCAACCTCTTTGTTCTTCAGGATCTTCAGTGTGTTTCATTCTGCAGGGTTCTGGATCACTCGTGTTCTCACTGTCCTCTTCAGTGTTGTGCAAGTTACTTCCAAACTGTAATACATTATAGATGACTTGTTACTGTTATTTAAAAGTAATTCTTTACCTTACAATATTACTGTCTCAGAATTGTAATGCGTTACATTACTCCTATAGTACTTTTGAGTTACTTTCACCAAAATAACTACAGAAGTAGAGCTTAACATTATAAAATGACAAAATGTCAGATGTACAATGGATCTAAAATGGATGCTATGATTTTATTTGACAATGATGCAAAAAAAAAGCACTTATAATGAGAGAATACCGTTGCAGTTTTCTTTGATATTAAAAAAAGCTTATGGCACTTAATGGAGGGAAGAACTTTTAAATAAAAAGCGCGTATTTGTTGCACGTTAATGTTTTTTACTTTTTTTGGAAATGCACAAAGAAAAAAAAAAGTGTAGCCGCTCGCAAACGTGTTTATTTTCCCTTTGATTTGGCGTCTCATTCGTTTCTTTGCTAGATTTTCTCATGTCTGCTCATGCTAGTTAACGTTAGTCACTCCCTGTATATAATATGTTTTTTTTTCCTCACAAATGTATGACTTTTGGAAGTGCAATTTGATCACCATATGCTTAATAAAGTTGAATTAGCTAACCTTATTCTATGTCATTTTTACTCTTCAAAGTGTACACGTGCAGGTGTTGATTATAATTAATTTACTGTTAGGCACATAAATAAGGATAGACAATATTTTAAAAGTATATAATTATCTAACATATGACTAATTAAAAATTAACCACTAAACATAACATGCTAAATGGGGGATATCTATATCTAGCATATTAAAAAATGTAAGTGTCAGAACGGCGTCTCTCAGTTTCTGAATGTCGCGCTACAGCCCTGTCGCAACGCTTACAATTATACGTTGTTACAATGTTGCGAGCACGTAGACAGCGACGTTGCCATAGCAGAAATGCAACGTGCCACAGACGTTGCCACAATGTAAATGTGTTTGCTGGGTAAAGACTTGTGTGTGATCCATTTGAGCACTTCAATCTATGAATCAAACTATGAGATCCGCACAAATGGCGAATAACGCCTGTTTCACACATAGTCCGTTTTTCAATGTTAACAGGTTAGAGCACTGATTCCCAAAGCGTGGTAGTACGCATACTACTAGTGGTATTCAGGCTCTCTCTAGTGGTACGCAGAGGAATCACTGAATTTCGTACGAGCGTGTGATCACACGGATGTGAGTGGAACGGTCGGTGTATCACATGATCATCAACTGCTAAATTCAAATGTGCTTTCGCGCGTTAGCTAGTGCTTACGGTAGAGATCCACTTTTGCGACACGACAGTCGCGTGGTGACGCCTCCCTTCATTTGTACGTTGATGGGCGTACCTTAGTTTACAGCTATGTTTGTGGTTTTGAGCCAGCGGCCAGTCTGTCATATATCACAACTTTTCAGTGTTTTCAACCACAGAATGTTTATTTTAGGTTTCAGACATTTAAATTCACATAAGTACTAAAAAAACAATACATTTAGAGTTTGTAAAATACACACTGATGATGTCTATGGAAGCGGCAATAATAATCCTTTCCATTATAATTAGACAAAACGTTTTATTCTTATCAGATACACATTGTGTAAGTAACTTAAAAGTTCACTCTATTCTTCTCTCAGTGGTGATGGCGCAGTGGATAAGACACATGCCTTTTGGTTCAAATCCACTGTGAGACACCATGTGTCCCTGAGCAAGACACTTAACCCCTAGTTGCTCCAGAGGCGTGCAACCTCTGACATATATATAGCAATTGTAAGTAGTGGTCGACCGATATATCGATGGTTAGTTCTGTTTTCAGCAGATCTGTTAATATTGATTGATGAGCCTCAGACTATCAACACTCATTCAACAAGCCATTCAGGATCGTCAGCAGATCATCTCACTTTATTCTGAGAGTTTGCAATTAGAAACACACTATTTGAGTCAGGATACATGATAAAATCCTTTAAAACTCCCCTATTGAAAGATAATACTGTTATTTCTCACAATATGACATAAAATATCAATAATACAGAATCATTAATGACACTCAAGAAACGACACAATAATATGTCCATATAAATCTAAATATAGTTCTATTTTCTAATAACCATATTCATTACAATAAAGTAATTAGATCTTTAAATATGTTTATAATTAAAAACTTTTAAAAATACAGAGCATATAACGCAATTCTACATTTATCTATTTTAATATAGATTTAAATTGTTTCACGTAGCTTATTATAGGCTGAATGTAAATCTGTTTCAATACATTTTAATAATGTAACTTAACTAACAAATTTACATTTACATTTAGTCATTTAGCAGACGCTTTTATCCAAAGCGACTTACAACTGAGGACTAAACCAAACGAGTCATCGTGAAGAGGCAAAAGCAACGCAAGAAGTGCTCAAAATACAAGTTCAGACATAGCTCGGAGTAGCATAAGCCAGGCAAGCGAGGATTTAGAGGAAAGGATTTTTTTTTTTTTTTTTTATGTTAAGTGCTCCCGGAAGAGATGAGTTTTCAGTTGTCACATCACAAATGTGATGTGTCAAAGACAAGGGCGTAGGTTTAGGGGGGGACGCTAGGTACTAGTCCCAATCAATATTTTGAGATGACAAATTTGTCCCCACCAATATTTAGCAAGCTCCTTTGAACTGCTATTTTGATATTTGCGCTGCATTTGGATCTTTGCACTGCTATTTGGATCGATTCCAACGGCCAGGACGACGACAGTACAAGATACGCCGTAATTTGATTGGCGGCGGGGTATCTGACAGGCAGGCTACACGCGCGGGCCGGGACTACTTTTTGAGCTTGCATTCACTGGCGGCGAGCGGGTGGTGTGTGTGTGTGCGCGCGTGACGACGCCGACGGTAAGTTACCAGCGCTGTGTCTCTGCCTGCAATATACAAAGGCCAGAGTAAAACATTTTAATATTCCGTTTTTTTTGCCCCTTTTTGTACTTTATAGATCAGCTATGTCACCCAAGAAGAAGAAAAGGGACATACGAAGCTTTTTCATAAAGCAGAGTGTTAGTAGGCAAAAATAACTAGCCAACCAAATAACTAGTAGTGACAGGCTTTCAAATGCAGATTATACTGTGGAAAATAGTATTAACTGGTGATCCTGGTTACCCAGGATATTGTTACAGTTAAACCTAGCTTCTGCAATCTTTCAAGGTTAGGAGCATTAATTAGGGGTGTGCAGCACGGATAGACTCATAGAAGTCGCACTATCATGATAGAATGCTACGTTAGCAAGTCACTGAATGTTAATTAGCCTACCTTAAATGCCTAAGTTGCGTTAGCCGTTTTTCGTCTAACATAAAGGAAATGAAACTAGTTGTCTGGTTTTCTTGTGAAACATATTTGTGACCCTTAGTGTGACTTCCTTTCTTTCTTCTCTGACTGCAAACCACTCTCTGTGTGGCAGAACAACCTTCTTGCAAGAATAAAAACGTATAAAGACACTGGTTGTTTCTCCATTTCAGCCTCACCATTATTAAAGTCATATTTGTTTTGAGTTTATACAAAATTAAATGTGTAATATGAATAATTAGTGCTCATAAACGGCTGTTGAGATAGTATTCTGAAGTGAAACTAGTAAAGGCTTTTTACCCGGAAACACATTCTTTACAAAAACACTTAACAAATGGATTGGTTTACAGATTAACAGGAAGTGACAACAAAGAAAAAGAAAGAAACAGAGGAAAAACTCGTAAAAATCATTTAATTAATTTAATATACAATCAGCAAGGCCCATCTGCAAGAGACATTTAGTAATATTTTGATGTCTATGAAATTAGACAATGATATTACAAATGACATATTCTGCCCAGTGTTCTCAAATAAACAAAAATTGTGCATTAAAGACAATATATATATATATATATATATATATATATATTGAAGTACAGCCTATAACTGAAGATGTGAAATTCTCTAATAAATGTCTTACATTGCCTCCCCTGGAGGAGTTATATATAACAAAAAGGACTGATAAATATGAAATGTTTATGGACGATCTCTTAGTTGCCCAGCTCCAGAGGAACCACGCTAAAACCCTGAACAAAGCCAAGAAAAGGACACAAAGAAGAAGAAGTCGACCATTGACCCTACAGCACGACTTGATCTGGTAGAGCAGGAAGATGATAACAACAATTCGGAAAATGGAACAACTGAATAAACAACTGATGCATGTTGTAAAAAAGTTTGTGTTAATGAGTCAACTTAAATGTCCCAAATGTGAGATGTTAGATATGCAGGATAAAGTCGCATCTCTAGAGATGCAACTTTGCCCTGCTGTCTGAAGTGTTATTTTAGTTTGCATTGTCTTTCTTTTACGCTATCATTGCAGAAGCTAAGCAGGTGTTACAACTGTGACCTTTCTGCATAGATAAAGTAACGCTTCTTAAGAGGCCATTGTGAGGCCAGAGGCAGGATGTGGTTTTCACACCTGTAGGAATAACCAGTAGAATAGCACTTAACCCATGTGTGTAGAGTCTTAGAAGAATAACGACTTTTCTGTCTTCTTTTCTTTTGCTCAACAACAAGTGCAAGTGTTTCCTGCTTTTTGCACACCTTGTAAGGAATTATTGCTGAACTAGGACTGCCTCCCCTAATGCTTAGAGACGGCCCCAATTTAGACATAAAAGATTATGTTTCCTGTTTTTAGGGGCCGCAACTTTTCGAGGTGAAGACTATATACGCTTTTCTTTTACTTTTCTGTTTTTTGAATTTATTGTCTTTGTATCATTCTGAATTTTTTTTGAGTAAAACGAAACCATTAGTTTGGTGATTCGAAAACCTCTTAAAATCAGACTCAGAGTGATTTTTTCCTAAAAATATCTTTATGTGAATTGAGATATTTTATACTGAGCAAAGAGCCCTATGACACGAACCCAAAACTGAGCTGGTACGGACACCGCCGAGGATCCTATTCCACCTCCCCACATCAAGAACCATCAGGTAAGCATATGAGGAA